CTTGAACTTTAAGGTTTATTCCATTCTGGATTTACTGTTTCAATCTTCAGAGAAGAAATCTGATCTGAGATCATAGAACATAGTTTAAACAAGTGACTTGAATATTTTTTAATTCTTTTTGTTCTTTTTCTCTTTCTTTTTCCAGATGTTTGTTCAACATGATTCAGAGACAGTTCATTTTGATTTCAGTCCAGAAACTTTTTCCAATCTAACTCAATTCCATTTGAATGTGGAGAAAAACTTGAAGAAACTCTTGTTCTGATTGCATGTTTTTCTGGCAATTTCAACAATCTGAAAGCATAGTTTCTGCACAGCTTATTGAATCTCACTTTGGGTGGAGGAATAGCAGCTTCAATTTTCATAGCATAGATTGAAGAAGTTCTGAAAGTCCCTAGAATCTTTCTTAAAGCTGAATTCTGAAGTCTTTCAAACTTGTGAAGTAGACTCTTTTGACCATTCCACCAAACTGAAACTTCAAAATCAGCAACAGAAGTGATGCAAGCCATGTACAGTTGTTTCATTGCTTGAAAAGTAAGATCTTTTTCTGTGTTTGAAAGTCTTATTATTTGATTCAAGACTCTTTCAGCTGATGCAATTTTGATTTCCACATGTCTTTTGAAAGTGAGTTGATTGTCAAACCAGATTCCCAACCATCTAACTAGATCTTTTGGTTTGAAAGTCAGATCATTCAATGAAACTGAATCTGATTCAGAATAATCTTTGGTGAAGTGAATCAGTTCAGTTTTGTCCATATCAAATTGAACAACATGAGAAGTCTGTCTTTCATACATTACACTGATTGCTTTATTCAACAACTCACAGTTCTTCTCAACTGATTCAGAAGAAACAATCAAATCAGTGTCATCAATGTAACTTAAAATTCTCACATCTTTCAGTTCTTTCAAATTTTCAAAAAGATATCTTGTGTAAATTGAAAAAAGAACTGATGAGAGTGGTGAACCTTGGGACACATCAATATTAATTGAAACTGATGTTGACTGTTTTTCTTCATCAAAAATCAATTGAATCTTTCTGGTTCTCATGAAAGATTCAATCCATCTGGCAAGATTCTTGGGCAACTTCAAATCCAAACAAATCTTCATCAATCTATTCACTGACACAAAATCAAATGCTCCTTTAATGTCAATAAAAAGAGCTGAAGTCACCAATTTCTTAGCTTTGGCAAGTTGAATGTCATGAGTGAGACTTAAAGCAGCATCAATTGCAGAACACTGTTTCTTTCCACCAAACTGATCAAAGTACAAGAGATCAGTAGTAGTTGCCCAGAAACTGAGTCTAGTGGCTATCACTCTTTCCATCACTTTGCCCAAACAATTCAGAAGTGAAATGATTCTGTAAGACTTGGGAATAGAACCATTTCTGTTTGGTTTCTTCAAAATGACTTCAGTAGCTTGTCTCCAAATGTCAGGATGATAGTTCTTCTCAAACAGACTTTTGTAGAGTTGAAACAATCTATCTTTAAGTACTGAATAGATTTTCTGTAAGATCAGAAAAGAGATTCCATCTGGATCAGATGCACTGACTTTTGAACCACTGAAAACTGATCTTTTGATTTCAATCTCAGTGATTTGCTGCCATTCCCACTTCTCACTCTCATGATATTCAGACCAATTGATTGATGGATATTCAGATGGTTTTCTGAAAAGAGTAATGATGAAAGCATTGCATTTCTCATTAAATGTGACTGCAGATTTTGATTCATTATCTGAGTCAACATAGTTGAGAATTGGAGTTTTTTCCACTTTCAAGTTCTTTGTGTACTTGTATGCTTTGAAGATTTCTTTTCCTTCAGCTTTTTCAAGAAAGTTATTCCAACATTCAGCTTTGACTTATTTCACAGCAGAAAAGTATTCAGTTCTTTGAGTCTGATAATCTTCATAGCTGATCAAATCTCTTTTAAAGTCTCTAAAAGCTCTGGTCATTGACTTTCTTTTCTCTTTCAGAATTGAATTCCACCATGGTTTGGATCTCTCAGTTATTCTCTTTCTGAGAATATGATCTTGAATTGAGACATGAATAAGATCTCTGATCTTTTCAGCTTCCAGCTCAAGTTCTTCTGGAAGATTAGAAACTGAAGACCATTGATATTCACTCTTTGACAGATTTATTTTCAAAGTCTCATTCACTTTTTCCCAATCAGCTTTCTGAAAGTTGTATTGATTTGCATAAAGAGAATTGTCAACCAGTTTGTCAAGATTCAATTCAATCTGGAACTGAATAATTTCATGATCAGATCCAGAATGAAGATCAGAATCAATTCTTCATTCAAAGAACTTTTGAAATAGATCTGCTGACAAGAAGCTTAAGTCAAGAACAGATTTATTTCTTAAGTTGAGTCTGACAAATATTTCTCTATTCACTTTATTAATCAATTTCAAGTTGTGATTTTCAAGCCATTCTATCAAGACATCAGCTCTGACAGATGTTGTAATGTTGGAGTTTCATCATGAATGATGAGCATTGAAATCTTCAGCAAGAACAATACTATCTGATTTTGAAAAAGATAGTTGTGAAAGATCTCTGTCAACAGTCCATTCATCAGAATCATTATCTAAAGATTTCTCATTGTAGATGTTAATCAACTTAATGGAATCAAGTTGTTTTGATTTATCCATAACATCTAGAATGAGAAGATCAGAACTGTTACACAGATCAGTTCTAAGACAGATTTCAAATCTTGAATTCTTTCTCACAAAGACAGCAACTCTAGGTCTCACAGTTCTATTTTCTGAAAGAATGCAATCAAAAGCACTGTGAGTAACAGTGTAGCTGTAGTCTTTACTGATTCATGATTCTTGAAACAACACATAATCAGTCTGAGTTGAGCAAGCAATATTTAAACAAGTGTGCATTGAGATGTCTTTTCTGCCAACATTATTTTGCAGAAATGTTATCTGAGAAGAGTGTTGTGTTTCTAACATTTAGAAATAGTGGTGGGAACAACTCTCTTTCTAATACTTGTCTGAGCTAATTCATCTTCAGAATCAGTCTCATGTATTCTTTTGACAATTGATCTGGATTTTTTAGCATTTTTGTCTTTAATATGAGTTTGTATTTTATCACAATTTCATCATTATTTTGGCATACAAAAGATTTATTGCTGAAGACTTTCAGGATCTCTTTTCACACAACATTCATCACTTTATATAATCTTACTTCACTCTTCAAAACTTCAATCTTTATATTTTAATGCAAATGCTAATCTTTTCTTAGCATGCTTCTCTGTCAAATGTGGTCTTTTTTTAACTATTCAGTTATATATTTCATGATGTAGAAACATTTTTTTGTAGATGCTCTTGAAAATGCCAAGATTCAACCCTTTTTAAAGCTCACAGTATGATATTTTGAGTTCTAGATGAATTTTTCAGAGAATTGATCATTCTCATCTAGAAGATAGTGCTCCAGATCTCTCAGATCATAAAACTGACTCTGTGTTGTGACATTTATAACTAATCTGAAGAATATATTAAATGATTTCTTGAAAAATATTTAGTGCTGATGCATTTTAAGTGCAGTTTTCATCTGTCTCTGATCTTTCAACAATTTTTGATTTAATATATGAAGATAGCTTCTTCTGCTGTATTCTATTTCCAAAAATTGAAGTCAAAGCTTGTTGAGAAGGCATTTTAAAAATTAATTTAGTAGAATGAGTTGAAGATGGCAATGTGAAAAAACACATAAAATTTTGGTGGGGTGGCCAAAATTTTTGGGCTAGTACTGTATGCATTTTGACTTAATGTGCCAATTTTTCTATTTTGTCATATTTTGGTGTAAAAATACTCTTTCAAAATAAAGTTTGAAAAAAATTAAAGTTATTTTAGAAATAGAGAAATGTAGAGATGGAACTTAAAATATAAGATTTAAAACTGAGAAGAGAATGGAACTTTTATTTATATTTTAAGCTGGAATTGAAACTAACTTTTAAATTTTGAAAAGAGATTGGAATCAACTGAATTAGATTTGGCTTTAAGTCTTGTCCCATTGAGATCTCAAAGAGATTTCCAACAGTCAGCCTAAGATTTTGAGATTATGAAGCAAAGAGTAGAGATTAAGCACTTCATACAAAATCATTCTTAAAACTTAAATGAAAATCAAAAGGGAATCTCTTTTCAGTCTGATTACACTAGTGTATAGTAATTATGTTGTATGCATTTCTGCTATTTTCAAATGATATTTTACCAATGGAGAAGTCTCTTCTCTGAATGAAAAGAGTTCTATCTAGAAGACAAGATTGTTGACTGCTGAAAACTAAAAAAGTTTACAGTGGGTGATGATATAGAAATTACATAAAGCATATGCTAGATTAAGTTAATAGACTGAGCTTATCAGTTTTAGTGTGATCTTATACATCTTGTTCTTACTTTCTATTGATTCTTGTCATGTTTAGATATACCAGCAGCCAGCTACACTTAAGATTTTGTGAGGATTTCCCTAGAGAGTATGATCTAAGAGAAGAATTTAATGAAAAGTTAAATAAGAGATCTTGACCATCTCTGAACATGCTACAGTTTGAAACTTAAACAGAATGAAGTGGTGGGAGCCCAGATATTAAGAATAACACATGCTGTAACTAAGCCAGATTAGGGAGAGTGGCTCTTCATAGTCTAAGACTCCATAAGAGCCTATCAAAAATAATGAATAACAACAACAACAACAATGTCATATGCATTTGGAAATATTACAGCCGCTAAGTCCCTGAGGATGAAAACTTTTGGCAGCGACCTCCGTACAGTAGAAAAATCAGTTGCTTTGTGGGTTCAGTCGTTCGGTGATGAATTACGTTAACTAGCTTCACACCGACGCACGCCAACAAGATAAAACCATGTTACTCCGTACTCTCAACCATAATTTCTTGATATCAGGCAATCCGCACATTCATCTCCTACATCAGAACCCTATTTTGATACAATAAACACACCGTGTCTTTTAGTTAATTCAAGCCTTACTTTGAATTTTTGGTTGCAAAACATCAAGTGACGATGCCTGCACCTGGAGTACTCTCAAGACGGCCAATACTAAACCTGCCCTTACAATTATCATTTCGCTCCGCCCACAATGGAAAATTGGTACAGAGACACCTATCTACCTACCGTCGCCTCAAGCAGCGATTTAGGGTTAAGCCCGACATATCTTTTGGTCAAAATGCCGTACAAGAGGGCTGCATTATTTATAATCCTCCCTCAAGTTCGCCTTCTGTCTACCGCACACCTACTAAATTTCTTCCTTCTCATGATGCACGACGGCAGTTACGTGTGGACTCTAGCCTCAATGTGCCAACCACTACCGGCAACCTTCCCCATGTTTTCAAACCATCGCAGAATAAGAAAACCTTAACAGCAAAGCATATTGAGGATATGCGCCAGCTACGACTCGAAGATCCAGTTACTTGGAGTCGGGGAAAATTGGCCAAACGCTTCGGGTGCAACTCTCTTTTTGTTGGAATGGTGTGCGAAGCTAGCCTCGAAAAGAAAGCAATTCAGCGACAAGTACTTGAAGCTGTTAGATCGCGCTGGGGCACTAGACGAGCAGTTGCTAGAGAAGATCGTGAATTACGGAAGGAAGTTTGGGCGAGAGATCGTTGATGGCGTTGCGCAAGTATTCTAGCGTTGAGCCAGGAGTGAAGTAACCTCGTAACTCGAACTTTAGAATTTCCTTCCTGGAATTGACCCTGCAGTAACTTGAGCTCCTCCCAATTCGCTGGCATTTCTACGTACCCTTCATTGCGACTAAGGTTTTGCGCGTTGTCTTTGTTGTTTCTTTCATGGTTCTCCACGCTGTACAAACAACATGCATCTTGAAAACTCCAAATATTTTCGTCTGTCGACGTAAAAGGAAGATTTTGTTTAAGATTGAGTGCCAGAGATGGTTGCATCAAGTATAGAATTAATATATAACTTCATGTGTCGTTTTTACCGTAAGTGATACAGTTGAGTTATCAGAATCTACTTATATGGTTGAGATATCCAGGGGCGATGTGCAATCAACGAAGTATATTTTGAGGCTACCTGATTGATCAATTTTTCGGTACATACGATATCAGCACTACTTTATATTAATTTATGCCATAAGGGGCTCCTCAGCAAGGTAATGGAGATAAGCGCCCAAAAGTTTTGTGCCCTCAATGTAATTTCTTCGATCCAATTTCTCATTAGCAGAATGAGGAGCATCCGTCGAACTACCCATTGGAAGTAGAAGCACGTTTTTACCCGTAGCCTCTTCAAAAGTCAAAGTAATAGGAATACTTTCGGACTATTAGCTTTTATTTCTGTCGATACACAATCTGAGGAACATACCTTCCACCCTCGCGGGTCATGTCCGGGGCAACACCAAACACTCTCTGAACTGCTTTGCTGGCAGCCGTAAAGTTCCAATTCTTGGGACTAGCAACCCACCACTTCCCATCATGCATCAGGGCAACCTGTGCCGTATTCTTGCTGTTTAGCTTCGCGAATTCGGCGTTCACGTACTCAGTCACCAATTTAGTCACATCTTCGGGTTTCATATCTGGAACCGTTCGGATAGAGAATTTCCCAATAACCTTAGCAGGTATTACGGTTTTTGCGCCAGGGCTGTGGTATGCACCTTCAATACCGTGAATAGAAAGAGAAGGGAACCTCCATCGGCGCATCAACGTCTGTTCCTTGCTCGAAAAAATCGACGTTTTGCTACCCAGCGATTCATGGAAATCGTCCATCGAGTAGCTAATAGCATCATATAAACATTTCTCGTAATCCTCTACCGGTGCAACGAGTTCCGCAATCCCCGGAATTAGGATATTTCCGGCAGGGTCAACCAATCGTGACAAGAGTGTCACCAAATCGGTCATCGGCTCATGGGCAGTTCCACCGAAAACACCACTATGTAAATCCTGACCAGGGCCAGAGATAGTTAGAGAGTAGTAGTTACAGCCCCGAAGGCCGTATGTCAAGCACGGTTTCTCAGTTCCCAACCAATAGTTGTCAGATATGCACACAGCGTCCGCATCCTTAAAGTATTTTTTGCCCTCCACCATTACAAACTCTTCCAAACCTAGGGAGCCGTATTCCTCCATGCCTTCGAAGCAGCAAAGAAGATTGACTGGAAAGTCAACACCAGCTCTCCGATGAGCTTCGATGACATTGATCCACCCTAGAACTGGTCCTTTGTCATCGGTACTGCCACGGCCATACATTCTCCCTGTTTCGTCAATGGATAGAGTAAAGGGGTCAGTGTTCCACCCATCCTCTTTGGTGGCAGGCTGAACGTCATAATGACCATAAACAAGAACTGTGCGCTTATCTTTATCATTCCCATAACGGGCAAGAACCACAGGTGGCAGTTCAAGATGCTCTCTGCCGTGTTCCTTTCCCAGCGGTCGCAGTTCTACCTCGGCGCCGAGAGCTTCAAGTTCAGAGACGAGGAAATGTGCCATCTAAAAGTCAAGAGTGAGAAGAATTAGCGTTTGTATGGCTTATAAACATCATCTCAATCGTGCTGGAAACATACTTTGACGACATCTTCTCTTCTTTCATCCTGCGCAGAAATAGAAGGGATTGCCACTGCTCTTCGCAGGCCTAAGGCTTGTATTAGTGGAGATTCTTCTTTTTCGCGGAATGAAAGATATACTGACGGTCAATAAAGGACTCGGCAAGGTGGTCGACCCTGCACTATACTTAGCTGTAGAGATCAATGATAGATATGATATGTGACAAAATTACTGCTTGAAAAACGGCTCAAGTTGAGGTGCCATGTTTGTGTCCCTGACGTTGGCGAAATATGATCTTTTATAAAAGGCGATGGGAGGTTGGAGAAAGCCGTCCGAAGGGTGCTTGATCAGATACCGAGTACCAAAAACAGATGATTTGATAACGGAGGAGGCTGGGTGTGAGAATCGAAGAAAAGAGGGGTTAATGAGGGGCATTGAATTGAATGGTTAGATGCGGAAAAGACAGGACAAGAAAACACGGACCTGGTGAGGCTACTAACTAGTTAGGTATGGGCAGACTTCAGGCAACTCACTAGTAGTGACAGGGAGGTGCTGGAAATTCACAATACTGTCCAGATGGATCTCTGCATGGGGCTGTTTAACCTGGCATCATCCAGCCTAACAAACTAACTTAAACTACTTCAAGGAGTAAAGTAGGGACCTAATGCAGTACACAACCAGACAGCTGAACTCACAAAATGACTTGGTTCAATTAACTGGTTACATTCATGTCACTTTCTACAGAGATTGAAGTTAACAAACACTAGTTATTCGGCGGAACAAGAGGATAATGAGAGTTCGCACATGGCACTAATTATAGAGTATTGTTCTCGTGTGGATGAGGCCTTCGTGGTACCGAAAACGGCCTTTGTGGCGGTTGAGAGGCAGGAGAAATCAAATAGTCAAGTGCTGCGGATAAAAAGTGGGCGGCCGCCTATTTTTAGGGGCGAACCTGAAACATGGATGCTCCCCTGCAACCACCAAGCTTCGCTTTAAACAGCACACACCGCCCGCCCCTCCTCTCTTCCTCCTCCACTCCCGCGTCTCTCGTTGCTGCCAATTCTCTTGACTGTGCCTGACATTGTTTAACCCCCCCAACCACGACGCCATACTTCGTCCCGTCATCTCTTGCTGTCTGCACCTCGACGTCGCATTCTGCGTGCAAGTTGATAGTGATTCCCAGTGTAACTTATAATTGAGTACCCGCTCGGAACCATCGTGCTCAACAATGTGGTATGCATGTCCGAATGGTATAGTCCGTTGACTACGCTTCTTGCTAACAGTCGACCACAGCGGCATCTTCGGGTATATTAACTACCTTGTCGAGAAGGACCGCGCCTACATTCTCCAAACCCTGCTCAATGGTGAGATAGCTTTTCATATACCTTTTGACTCCGAGCCGTATTAATCATGCCGTTCCTCGGTTTAGGCTTGTCGAGACTTGAATACCGCGGCTATGATTCCGCGGGTCTCGCCATCGATGGAGACAAGAAGAATGAAATAATGGCCTTTAAAGAAGTTGGCAAGGTAGCAAAGCTACGTGAATTGATCGCCAGTGCCAATCCAGACCCGAAGAAGGTTTTTGATTCTCATGCTGGCATTGCTCACACCCGATGGGCCACACACGGATCTCCATCTCGCATCAATTGCCATCCTCATAGGTAAAACCACTCTATCTAACCCGCAGAAGTCTGGTATAGGTCTTGTTGTTAACATGAAGGGGACAGGTCTGATCCGAACTGGGAGTTTTCCGTTGTCCATAATGGTATCATCACAAACTATAAGGAGCTGAAAGCCCTTCTTGAAAGCAAGGGTTTCAGATTTGAAACGGATACAGATACTGAGTGTATCGCAAAACTCGCTAAATACCTTTATGATCTTCATCCAGATATCGACTTTACTGTTTTGGCTAAAGCTGTGATTAAAGAACTTCAAGGGGCCTTCGGGTTGCTCATGAAATCCGTTCATTATCCCCATGAAGTGATTGCTGCTCGAAAGGGGTCGCCCTTGGTCATTGGGGTCCGTACCTCTAAGAAAATGAGGGTTGACTTTGTGGATGTTGAGTTCTCGGAAGAGGGCGCTTTGCCTGCTGAAGCTGCTTCCCAGAATCTTGCTATTAAGAAGTCTGCTGCGACGTTACTAGCTCCACCAGATAAATCCCTCTTGCATAGGTCGCAGTCTCGTGCATTCCTGTCCGATGATGGTGTTCCTCAGCCCTCCGAATTTTTCCTCTCTTCTGACCCGTCTGCTATTGTTGAACACACTAAAAAAGTTCTATATCTGGAAGATGATGACATTGCTCATATTCATGACGGGCAGTTGAACATTCATCGATTGACGAAAAACGACGGTACCTCAAACGTTCGTGCAATTCAAACAATCGAATTAGAGTTGCAAGAAATTATGAAAGGTAAATTCGACCATTTCATGCAAAAGGAAATTTTTGAGCAGCCAGAATCGGTTGTCAATACTATGCGTGGCCGTTTGGACGTTGCGAATAAGAAGGTCACGCTTGGCGGCCTACGTCAATACATCTCAACTATCCGTCGCTGCCGTCGCATTATCTTCATTGCGTGTGGAACAAGTTACCACTCATGCATGGCTGTTCGCGGTGTATTCGAAGAATTGACTGAAATCCCCATCTCTGTAGAGCTGGCATCCGACTTTTTGGATAGACAGGCACCTGTTTTTCGTGATGACACCTGTGTTTTTGTTTCTCAATCTGGCGAAACCGCCGATTCTTTGATGGCATTGAGATACTGCCTTGAGCGTGGGGCTCTTACAGTAGGCATTGTCAATGTCGTCGGTTCCTCGATCTCTTTGTTGACACATTGTGGTGTTCACATCAACGCTGGTCCAGAAATTGGAGTTGCCTCTACCAAAGCTTACACATCTCAGTTCGTTGCTATGGTCATGTTTGCCCTTTCTCTCAGTGAGGACCGTTTTTCTAAAAAAGAGAGACGGGAAGAAATTATGGAAGGTCTCTCTAAAGTGTCAAATCAGTTCCGAGAAATTCTGAAGATGAATGAACCGATCAAAGAAATGTGCGCGAAATTTTTCAAAGACCAGAAGAGTCTGTTATTGCTAGGAAGAGGGAGCCAATTTTCGACTGCCCTAGAAGGTATGTAGAAAAGCCTTTTTTTTTTTTTTTTTTTGCGCCAATATGACATAACATGCTGACAGCAATAAAGGTGCTCTTAAGATCAAAGAAATCTCTTATCTCCATTGCGAAGCAGTCATGTCGGGAGAGCTGAAACACGGTGTATTGGCACTAGTCGACGAAAGTCTACCTATCATTATGATTCTCACCCGCGACAAGATTTTTGCTAAGTCTTTGAATGCTTACCAGCAAGGTACAGTTATCGTCATATCCACTTTTCCTCGCTATAGTAACCCTAATCGATCGTTTGTAGTAATTGCTCGTGGTGGCCGGCCCATTGTGATATGCAACACCGATGAAGCCGAATTCCCGGCCTCAAAAGTAGAGAGAATTGAAATCCCACAAACGGTCGACTGCCTCCAAGGTCTATTAAACGTCATTCCCTTACAGTTAATCGCCTACTGGCTTGCTGTTGCCGAAGGTTTAAATGTTGATTTCCCTCGCAACCTTGCGAAATCTGTCACCGTCGAGTAGGTAGACAAGATTAGGAAGTTCTTCGGTCGACTGGGTATTAGTTTGGTATCAGCATAGAACGGCGGGTTAGTTCGGTGTCTTTTCGAGGAAGTCATGGAGCTCTGTTTCGTTACACAGTACCCCCGTCCGTATCTTTCAATTCTCCTAGTCCATAAGTCTAAATGGGTAGTTAATTATCGCTTAAATACGGATATACGTTTTTGTTTCTCGCGCTTTAGATTTATGATGTTATTTTAGTCCACGACTTATATAGTACCTAGATTAGGTAGTTAACTACCTAGGTAACTCGTAGTTAACTGACTGTATCTGGGAAGCTCTGTGAAACATAACCTCAGCACAGACCAACAACCATTCCAGAAAAAATGGCATCCCTCAAAGGCCCAGGCAAAGCAGATGTTTATGACGGTCGGTTCATTCATAGGTTTTCTAATTTTCAAGGACAGCTATTGACAACGTGCAGGATCGAGTCTTCGAATAGCCATTGTGCACGCACGATGGAACATCCCTATAATCGATGCCCTTGTCTCAGGAGCAAAAAACAAAATGATTAGCTTGGGCGTGAAAGAGGAAAACATCATTGTTGAAACCGTTCCTGGGAGTTATGAATTACCATTCGCTGTTCAAAGGTGCGTTTATGTTTCCCCGTCATTCTTCATGAATTGGAATTTAAATTCCACCACTAGCTTCAAGACATTTAATGAGTACGTATTTCCAGGGTCTACATGGCTTCTCGTGTACAGGCGGTTTGCGTTTCTGGGACAGAGAGCGCAACGGCAGACCTCTTGTCCTCATGTACCCCGGAACTCAAAGAATCGAGTACCTCCAAACACGCAAGACCGGTTCCATTTGATGCCGTAATTGCCATTGGTGTCCTGATAAAAGGCGAAACCATGCATTTTGAATACATTGCAGAATCAGTCTCGCATGGCCTGATGCGAGTACAGCTTGATTCTGGTGCTCCCGTTATATTTGGGTTACTTACTGTTTTAACTGAGGAACAAGGTTTAGTAAGATCAGGCCTCTTGGACGATAAGAATGGGAGCCGTCATAATCACGGGGAGGATTGGGGCTCTGCTGCTGTCGAGCTTGGTACTAAAAAGAGAGCATGGGAGGGAGGAAAGCTGCGTTGGACATTTAATTGAATGGATTTAGATTCTAGTTATCATACTGGAAATGGAATAGTTGTTGTGCTGCTAGAGACAGCATCCAGGCTGTTGATTTAGAAACAATTTATAGGATATCTCGAGAATCTAGTCTCATGAATGATAAATTATGGAATATGTTTGGATCTATTCCTCCATTCTATCCCCCTCATCGGTTTTAGTCTCCTCATAATCCTCGTCTTCTTCAGATATGGCCTTTTTAGCAGCCTTCTCTGCTTCATCACGGAGATCTTTCGGGACTTCCATATGCCTCCCCTTTGTTGGACCTTCCAACGAACTAATCCACGTCATCTCCAGCTCAAAATCCTTATCCTTGCTGTCCTCGTGAGCGATGTAAATAATCCGTGCAGCTTCTTTGATTCCATCCATCAAGGTAAGCCTATTTGATGGCAAATCCAACTTCTCGAGCTCCGCCTTGGCCGCTTGTCTGCCTTTGCCGGTAGCAGCACCATAATATCCCTAAGGCCGTTAGAAAATGCCTAAAGTCGTCATAATATTTGTAATAACGTACCCAGTACAGCCCACTGGGCTCAATCATGAATAATCCAGGGCCGCCGGATTTCGGATGCTCCACTCTACCACCCGCACCTGATTTGGGACCGTTTCCAACTTGACCATCAACTGAAAGCTCTATATCAGAGTCCCACCCGCCAAGAATAGCTGTGATGCCAAACGGGCGAACACTCGAATACAAAGTATATGCCTGTACATACCCGCCGAGTCTGTTGGCTAAAACCGAAGTGGGAACAGCGCCTTTATACGTGTTCCTCCACGACGCGGCTTCGTCTCTAGCTCGGGAAATAAAATGTCGACCATCAGGAATAAGACCAGATGATACCTAGGCATATCACGAATTCAATCAGTCATGGACAAAGGTTAGGTATCGGCCCGCGGGGCAACGAACTATTCCAACATGCCGATCAACGGTTCCAATTCTTTTGTTCGCACCTGGTTTAAGAAGCTTGCTCGAAACAATCTTTTCAACTGCAAGGATAACACCATCTTTACACCTTAGCCCAATTGCAGTGCCGCCATTCTCTACAGCCTTAACCGCATATTCAACCTAGGGATTGTAAGGAACTGCAATATTGAACATCGTTTAGAATATATGAGCTCACTTGAAAATTTCGGCCGTCTGGAGAGAAAACCGAGTTCGAGAGGTCGTATCCTGTGCCGATTGATGTCTAAGGTATGTGGTTAGTGGCTGAGGGAAGGAGGAAGGGAGTGAGGTACGCAAACCATGGCGAATTGAAGTCAAAAAATCACAAAAATCAAGTAAGGGTGATAAGCTTAGTCTTATCCGTAAGAGAGCCTACAATTTGCTCGACTGCCTGGAGCTCAGCCTTCGGGAAGGTGGTTAGGGTGAAGATGTGTTGAACAGCAGACATGGGACAAGTCATTTGAGCTATCACGTGACATCCCGGAGTATCTTTATCACGTCAGAGCTGTTATTAGTAAGTATATTCTACTAAGATTTTGTTGTATGAGTTTCTACTGCAAATTGACTTGCTCACAAATATTTTTAAGCTGAAGATGAAGATGTCAATTGTATTTATAAATACATGCTAAATGAACATAAAAAATTTATAAATTGAAAAAACAGAAATAAAATTCTCTATATAAAAATCATTAAATACACATTTCTGAAAATGTAAAAATACAATTAATGTAGTATTATCATGATATATTTTTTGTGAATCACTTTGCAACAACTTACATTTATTAGTTACTTTCACAAAAGTATTTCTGACTGAAAGTGAAAAGAATATTATCAGATTTATGAAAATTCTTAAAAATTTTATACTAGACTACAGAATGAACTATAGACATCATTTACTTTTAACATTTTATGATAAATTTCTTAAATTATAAGTATAAATGTGATAACTGATCTTTTCATAAGTATAAACTTTAAAAATGTTATATATGTTTTAGTTATAATGAAACTTTCATTTAAAATATCTTATAATTACTTTTTACTAGTCAATAAAAACTTGAACTTTATGGCATTAAGTTCTTAAAGTAGTAAATTGAATATGTGTGACATTAGACTGACTGTTGAAATTTCTTTGAAATCTCAATAAAACAAGACTGAATGTCAATTTCAATTATGTTGATCTCAATCTCTTCTCAAAATTTAAAAATTAGTTTCAATCTCATTTTAAAATATGAATAAAAGTTTCATTTTCTTCTCAGTTTTAGGCTGACCACAGGGACAGGGATTTCCCAACTGGGATCTCATCTCTAATGCACTAATGAGAAATTGAGATGGGACTGGGAATTGGTAGTTCAAACTGAGATGGAACTGAGACTTGAGTTTCAAGTACTGAGATGGGAATGGAACTTAATTTAAAGAAATTGAAATTATTCAATTAGAAATAGAAATTCTCAATTTCCCTAAATTCAAAATAAAATCTTATTTTATACTATTTTTAGTACCAAAATCATATATAAATGTATATATATAATATGCATTTTGACTTAATGTGCCAATTTTTCTATTTTATCATATTTTGGTGTAAAAATACACTTTCAAAATAAAGTTTGAAAAAAAATTAAAGTTGTTTTAGGGATAGAGAAATTCAGAGATGGGACATAACATAGAAAATTTGAAACTGAGAAGGGAATGGAACTTGTTTTCATATTTTGAAATGGAATTGGGATCAATTTTTAAATTTTGGGAAGAGATTGGAATCAACTCAATTGAAATTAACATTCAGTCTTGTTCCATTGGGATTTCTTTGAGATCCCAATGGTCAGTCTACTCAGTTTCAAATTTTATATTTTAAGTTTCATTTTCAGATTTTTCTATTTCTAAAACAACTTTAATGTTCTTTCAAACTTTATTTTGAAAGTGTATTTTTACACCAAAATGTGACAAAATAGAAAAATTGGCACATTAAGTCAAAATGCATATTATATATATACATTTGTATATGATTTTAGTACTAAAAATAGTATAAAATAAGATTTTATTTTGGATTTAGGGAAATTGAGAATTTCTATTTCTAATTGAATAATTTTAATCTCTTTAAATTAAGTTCTATTCTCATCTCAGTATTTGAAACTCAAGTTTCAGTCCCATCTTAGTTTGAATCATCAAGTCTCAGTCCCATTTCAATTTTCCAGTAGTGCATTAGAGACAGAATCTCAGTTGAGAAATCTCTGTCTCTGCAGTCAGTTTATGTAACATTGATTAAATTCAATTTTTAAATTTATATGATATATTTCAACTTTCTGCAAAAAATTCAAGAATATGCTTAGAGTCTTAGACACTGTGCTGTGAAGATTCTGACTAAATTACTGAAATGAATGAGCTCAAAACACCAAATTTTACTATATAAATATATATAAATATGTGAGCAAGTCAATGTGCAGTAGAAGCTTATATAACAAAAGCTTAGTTAGTAGAAAATACTTATGAATAACTATATAAATATATAGATATATAGTTATATAGAAGATTTTGGTGAATAGGTACAGTGAGAACAGAAATAATATTGAAATCAAGAGAAAACAGACTGATGGACACAGCACTTGATATGAAACACCATCAATTCTAAGTCAAATTTAATGAAAATATATTCATTGGAAAGCTCTTGTTTCATTTAGTTATTCTCTCCATTTTCGCCCAGCAATTCACTGTGGTGGGTGGGAAATCTCACACCAAAGACTGGGTCACCAGTTTTGGCTACTCAGGCACTTTGTCTGGTCATCACAACACAACCATCTCTACTACAGCCCTGAAATGTTGGAAATTGATTTGTTTTGTGTTAAAGAATCTATACCCAAGAGGAAAATACTTGCATTCTCAAACTGATTAAGAATTCACTCAGTTTTGGTGGCTCTCCATCAGTCTTTCACAGTGAAAAGTTTTCATGTTCCTGGCTTACTAAGCCTTAATCAGCAACACCAAAGCTGAATTGAAGTCTGAGCTTACATAATTTTTCAATCAAATGCTATTATACCCCATCAAAGTGGTACAACTGCAGAACACAGTCAAAATTCCAGCAGAACATAGAAATTTAATCACAACTCAGCCAAAACAAGATCTTTTTAAATTCAGTTGAATATCTCTGATTTTCTGATCAATTCTCTATCTTTCTGATATTCTATCAATTTTCTCCAGTCCTGATTTTCACTTCCAAAAAGTCAAAAGCATTTGCCAGTTGGGATCAGTAAAGATAAATTCAACCACAACTCAGTCAAGACAAAATCTCTTCAAAATTGGTTTGATATTTCTGAGTCTCTGATCAATTCTCTATCTCTCTGATATTCTATTGATTTCCTCCAGCTCTGATTTTCACTTCTGAAAAGTCAAAACCATTTGTCAGTTGGGGTCAGCAAAGATAAATTCAATCACAACTCAGTCAAAACAAGATCTCTTCAAAATTGATTTAATATCTCTGATTCTCTGATCAATTCTCTATCTCTCTGATATTCTATTGATTTTCTCTGGCCCCAATTTTCACTTTTGAAAAGTCAGAACCATTGGTCAGTTGGGGTCAGCAAAGATAAATTCAATCACAACTTAAACAAAACAACTTTTCTCTCTTTCTTATTTGTCTCAAAGACATAGACTCTCTCAGTCACTGATCCCTGCATCCATCAGCTAGTGATGGTTAAAATTGCTCTTTTATAGTTAGAATAATCATACTAGACTTGTTGATTTTCTAGCAAAGAAGAAGGCTTTTTACTTACATATCATAACAGTTTCTTCCAGTTCTTCTGCAGTTGGAATTTGACTTTGCCTTGAGATATATTAGTGTCTGGCAAAGAAGAATTAGAATTGTAATCTGAGATTGAAAAAGAACTGAGTTATCTTATTATTATTATTATTATTATTATTATTATTAATTATAGTCTTGTGCAGTCTGAGACTATGAAGACTACCTGCAAGCTGTCTTGCAGGATTTAACTAAGTTACAAAAACAATGATCAGAGACATGATCATAGACAAATTAACAAATGAAAAACATACAAGAGTGTCAGGGCAGTGATTTATGTCTTTCCTCCACAGAAATTTAAAAACAAGTAATGAGATTGTAAGTGAGATCTTTAAAGATACTCAGTCTGTTTTATTCAGAAGTCATCTTCTGGTGACTATTTCAGTTTGTTTAAGAAACTTTCCCATTCATTTCAAACCCAATTCAGTGTTAAATAGAAACTCAAGTGACAGTTGTGGAATTTTAAACTCTTTCAAACACTGTTGTCTGTCATCTTTCAGACTTAAATAATCCATGAGCAAATGTTTTGATGTTTCTTTGCAGTCACAGTGTCTGCAGATTTCCTTATCATGATTTGGTAGTCTTATTAAGTAAGAACCAAAGTAATCATGACCCAATTTCAACTGAATGATTGTTGACCAAATCTGTTTGGGGAATGAAAGTGAACATGCTTTCCACTTTGGTTTTGAATTGAATTGAGAGTAGTGATTTACATCACTTCCATTTTCAAATACATATTCTAACCATTCAAGCATTGCCATTTCTTTGATTTGTCTCTTGATGTAAGCAAAAGAGACATACTTTTCAGCACAATCTTGTCTTAATTCAGTTGCTTTCTTTGCAGCAATATCAGCTTCTTCATTGCCAAAGATGCCCATGTGAGCTGGAATCCAGTGAAGATGACACTTAATGTCTTTAGACTTAAGTTGTTTAGCAATTTTTCTAATTGATTCAATGTAGAACAGTCCAGCTTTCATATTCTGTGCATTAAGTCTCTGAATGGCAGCTTGACTGTCAGAAAACACCCATAGTTCTGAAAAGATTCTTGAATTTGAAAGAGTCAAAGCATTGAAGAAAGCCTTTTCAATTGCAAAGAGTTCAGCATCAAACACTTTCATATGTTTGCCCAATCTTCAAGAATATCTTTGATTTGTTTCTGAAATATAAAGACCTGCATCAGTAGTCAGATTTTCTGACTGTGATCCATCTGAATACATGATTAAAGAGTCTTTCAAATTGAGAAGAAGTTGTTGATGATTTTTCTTTGCAAGTATCTTCTCTGCTGAATCAATTTAAATGTCAATGATTTCATTCAGACTTGAACTTCAAGATTTATTCCATTCTGGATTTACTGTTTCAATCTTCAGAGAAGGAATCTGATCTGAGATCATAGAACATAGTTTAAATAAGTGACTTGGATATTTTTTAATTCTTTTTGTTCTTTTTCTCTTTCTTTTTCCAGATGTTTGTTCAACATGATCCAGAGTCAACTCATTTTGATTCCAGTCCAGAAAC